TCGCTCTAATTCGCTCATTAACTTCAATCGTTCTAATCCTTTTCAATTTACACGATTCGAATAGCCTATCATTGCTATATATATATATATATATATATATATATATATATCATAACCTTAAAATGCATTCGAGGCCTTACTCTGCCTGACACAACTCACGAAACCCGACTTTTGGAATCACAGTCATCACAAGAACGACTAAAGTAAAGTGTTTTAATCAACTTTATAATCTCAAATCACTATCAAAATATCAACATAATAAATAGTTCACATGTGTTATGAGTCAACAACAATATTTAAGTAATGTCAAGTTATCAATAAAATTTAAGCAATGTCAAGCTATCTACAATATTTAAGCAATGTCAAGTTGTCTCATGACAACTGTACAGTGTCCAAATCAATAACATGTAAGTCATGTCAAGGTATACAACTACTCTAGTACAGTGAATACTGCTCAAATCATAAATTTTTCAACAAATCACAAGCTTTTCAACAAGCCACAAACTTGTCAACAAAACATATTTGATACATTATTTACTCAACTCAACATAAATCAAATCATCTAGACTTCATTTCAGTTAGGAAAAATAACTCATATTAGTCATATATTTTTATTTTCAATCATTACGAAGCAGTACACTTTACATGTCACCGCCAACCAACATATCACTCAACTTTATGCTCAATTCCTAGGTATAATCGATGTTGTAGCATCCGACCCTAATAATTTGTATATGCACAAATGCAAGTGATTATCGACTCTATAATTACACAAAAAAAAAAAATGCAAGTGAATGTATATGAGTACACTTCATGGCATTTCGTATTCACTACAACTTTGTTTTTTCAAATACACTTTGAAATATATTACGAATTATTTCATTCTCGTAATCATCATATATATACACCAAGGATTATTTAAATAGTCAAAATTGACATTATAGCTTGTTTGAATATAGAATAACAAAAAAAAAAGTATAATAGAATAATTAGTGAAATGATTATTTTGGAATGATCACTCAATGGATAAAACGGTTGACCAATTGTTATTGTCATCCTGATCGACGACTAAGTAAATTTACGGGTAGATAAATATTTTGCACCAATTTTATTTACTCCTTACCTTTTTCTCTTATATCCCATTCCACACCACTTGAATTAAGCCACTTTAGTCTTATTTTTGTTCATTTCCTTTACTTAAATGTTTTCTCAAATACTTAGGATGCATTTACGTAACATGTGAATTCATGGAGTGATTTTATCAAAAATAAGCTTTTAACCTCACTAAATTGATATAAAACCAACTTGATTAAAAAGTGGACTTCCTAAACTTTCTAATAATAAGTTATGAGCTCTAAACGACATCCTGAGCAAAGTATTAACATTATTTTTCCATCGAAAATCACATATGTTATTTATAAAGAAATCTCCAATTTTTACTCATTTTGGTACAAAAAAATTGTATTTCTACAGACATAACCTGATGTCCTACCATATACCGTTGCTAAGTATCTCTAAATCTAATTTCCAACAAAATTGACAGTGCGTTAATTTGAGTTGTCTACAAAACATTATACCCATTTTACTACAAAGGGGTCCAAACAGTCACATATAACCTCAAATTCAAATTTTTTATATTTAGTTTTCTTTGATTCAAACTAACCGAATTTATTTCATACTCCCTACAAAACATCACATATTCGGTGGGCTTCCACAAATAATAAACAAAATCCCATATTTATTATTTTTAACTGGCTGATTTTACACACTCAGACTCTCTCTCCAACAACACAACTCATGTATAGTACATATTTCCTTCAAATAATTTAAGAATCACATGAAACAACTAGATCCAAGCTAATTTCCTTCGTATCAACTTTTAAAATTGCTAATTTGAAACACTCTCTATAAAAACATCACACCTTATCTATCAAATAATAGCTTTTCTACAAAACAACATACTATAATTTTATAAAAAAACGGAGTCAATTTCAACGTTGGATTCGAATTAAAACTCAAATTTTCTTTTTCTTTTTTTCTTCTTCTAGGTTCTTCTTCTTTCTTCTTCCACCTTATGTTTTTCTTTTCTTTTGTTTGGTCTTCACCGTCAGACACACTCCTTTATTTCCTTCTTATTATTAAGCAAAACTATACTTCATTTCCCTTTTATTCCAATGAATTAAATTGTAGTTTAAATCNTCTAGGTTCTTCTTCTTTCTTCTTCCACCTTATGTTTTTCTTTTCTTTTGTTTGGTCTTCACCGTCAGACACACTCCTTTACTTCCTTCTTATTATTAAGCAAAACTATACTTCATTTCCCTTTTATTCCAATGAATTAAATTGTAGTTTAAATCTTTATACAATACTTTCTTTTAATTTTCAATTTTCTTATAAATATAAATCCGGGTTTTACAAAGGTTGTACAAACTTTGACATCAACAGTACTAATTATAATTTTTTAAGATAAAAATTAATTTTTATTTTTAATTTTTTTTTAGTAAATGACATAATACAACATGAACTTTATTGTAAAATTTAAAATGNAAGGTTGTACAAACTTTGACATCAACAGTACTAATTATAATTTTTTAAGATAAAAATGAATTTTTATTTTTAATTTTTTTTAATAAATGACATAATACAACATGAACTTTATTGTAAAATTTAAAATGTTTGATATTTTATTTTTACTTGGAGTATTTTCTGTGTAAATATAATATTTTAAACGTGAAGGGTATAAGTATTACATGCTTTAAATTTAAGAGGTTTAGGTATAATTTATTAATAAATATACTAATAATAAACATTAACGGCAAAGCCCTCAAAGAATTTGTGTGTAATATAAGAGTTTAAATGATTAAGTGATAAATTATAAAAAATCTGGATGAAATTTTTCGTATATATTATTACTACCTCGTGCCATGTATAAAATTTATATTTCATCACATTCTATTACCCACTTTACTATTTTTTCATCTCTCTTATTCCGNTTAAGTGATAAATTATAAAAAATCTGGATGAAATTTTTCGTATATATTATTACTACCCCGTGCCATGTATAAAATTTATATTTCATCACATTCTATTACCCACTTTACTATTTTTTCATCTCTCTTATTCCGGGAGAAAAAAATTTAGATAAATAATTAAAAAAAATTGTTGGATAGAAAGTATTTTAAAAAAAAAATTGAATGAAAATTTATTAGTAATAGAGGAGTGGCTATGTCACATGATGAAATATAAGTGAATTAAATAAATAAAAATTGAAAAAAATAAGAAAATACAGTGAGAAAATTTCTCAAGACCTTTCCCACCTAAATTCGTATTATTATACAATAGAGGACTCTTCAACTTCGATGGGGTGAGAAAAGAGCGTAAATAGTGGTTGCCCACCTTTGGGTTGTAGACTTTTCCAAATTGTGTCCTTATCAAATAGACTGGCAAAACTATTTTATTTTACTTGGAGTTATTTACACTTTTCGCCATTCAAGTTTACAATGATCCTCACTTTGGTTGTTTTTTTTGGTTTAAACAAAATGATGTAATGAATTAGGCATTTGAATTAGATATTTATAACATTATTTTTTTTTTTTAGTTTCATCTTCGAACCATTAATAAGTTTTCATTGATTTTATGATAATAATCACTAAAATTACATGTGTCAAATCACGTGGGCCACATTAATTCTTACACATCCACCTTACCTACTCAAGTCAATATAATCTAAAATTTTAAACAAATTTAATATTTTAAATAATTCAACATAATTATAGAATATCATAATATAATTAAAAATTTGTTATCTACAACATAATCTAATATAATATAATTAAAAATTTATTTCTCATGTAAATTTAACACAACATAATCTAATATAAAAAAAATAAAGAATTACACTTTTAAAAGTCAAAAATATAAAAAAAAAAAAAATAATTCATTCGATAAATATCTTTTTATACATCTGTCATTCAATACGTATAATCTGTTCGAGAGTCGAATGAAAAACTGACTTGCATGACAGATAAAAGTGGGTGGGTAGGTCGGTAGGTAATTGAATTGGATCCACGTCTGTCTGGCTTGGCTGCCTCATCAGTAAAGAGTGATGGATGGATCTGTCCGCCTAATCTTGCCAGACAGCTGAGTTCATCGCCATCATCAACAACTGATGCTATGTTTATTAAAAAGTGATTTATCAAATGAGCCGACTTTGCAATTAAAAACATTTTGATTGCTGGTCGATGAATTCAAGAGTGATTTCAAATTATTAATTTATTTGATAAAAATATTTTTTGATAAAAATTTTGATATGCATGACATTTTTCCATCACCAACTACTTCCGTCTGACCGGTCATGTTGATCTATCAAATGAGAAACAAAAACGTTGTACGTAACACATGATTACGGACGTGGCATAGCTTCGACCGGGCTCTTCATCGCTTCGCCCAATCAAAATGTGGCGTGGCGTGGCGTGGCAGGGCAAATATATTTTAATGCGTGAGATGAGAAAGCAGCCTCTCCTCCACCCGCTCATCTGCTGGATGACGTTGCTTTGTGACTTCATTCCTATTAGGTTATCTGATCCTGCTGGATGACGTTTTTTTGTGACTTCATTCTTATTAGGTCATCTTGCCAGCATTTCATCAATTTTTTTTAAATGTTAAAATTGAATCAATCAACTCTTTATTCCAACGTCAATCAAAACTCTATCGATACCGGCTAGCGCATATGCACAAGTGAAATCCTAAAGCAATCAAACTCTTTTTAGAAAATAATTTCATAGAAGTACAATTTCTTTTGTTTTGCCTACTCAACTACTAGTTGTTTTCTGTTTGGTTGCTTAAAAAATTAAAAAAATAAATAATTTAAATGAGGGCTTACCTTACTTTTCCAACGTGGAGACAAGCATGGGTAGGTGGTGGGTGGGTCTGTTCTGTACATTTCCAAGTGTATATAAAGGGGTAGTGGCTCACCCATGTAGGAGGGAAGAGCAAGGCAAGCCATGTCTAAACCAAAGCTATTGCTAGCTGACCTTGTATCCGGTGTTCACCATGTTCCCTCAAATTACATCCGACCCATCTCCGATCGTCCAAACCTCAATGACGTTGAGATATCTGATGGCTCAATACCCCTCATAGACCTTCAGGGCCTCCATGGTCCCCACCGCGTTGATGTCATTAAACAGATTGGCCTAGCATGCCAGCAAGATGGCTTCTTTCAGGTACGCATGTTTATAACTCACTATACATGTCAATTATTAGTTTTCACCATTCTGTACCTCCCTCCATTGTGTTTCTTTAGTATGATAGAATCTCTGTGGCTTACCAACACAAAAAAAAAGAGAATTACAACTACATCCTTTTTGAAGTTTGTCACTTAATCACTCAGATTCCCTGACATTTAAAATATTATACACAGACCCCCTAAATTTTATGCGCACATAACATTTAGACTCCTATTGTAAATATATCGATTAATAAATTACACTTAGACCCCTTTAAAATTTATAAGTATATAATATTGAGATCATTTAAGTTAAAAATATTATATTTATATTAAAAATACTTCAATTAAAGATAAAATATCAAATATTTTAAATTTTATAACCAAAATTTATGTTTTATTGTATTATTTATTGAAATAAAATCAAAAATAAAAATTCAATTTTTTTCTTAAAAAATCGTAATTAGTATATAATTATATTGTCTATTGAAATTTAATTTGGTCGTTTAAACAACCAAATTAAAATACCAAACTACTCCAATTAAAGTTAAAAGATATTGTGTCTATTATAATTTGACCTGTTGTTTAATTTTTTTTTAGTTTTATTCTAATAAATAGTATAATTATATATTAATTATGATTTTTTTTTTAAAAGTTAGACTTTTATTTTCTATTTTATTTCAATAAATGACATAATAAAATATGAATTTTAGATGTAAAATTTATATTTTATTATAAATGATTTAGACCCTTTGTTTGATTTTTTTAGTTTTATTCCAATAGATAGTATAATTGTATACTAATTACAATTTTTTTAAAAAAAATTAAATTTTTAATTTTATTTTTATTTTAATAAATGATACAATAAAACTTAAATTTTGGTTGTAAAATTTAAAATATTTGATATTCTATCTTTAATTGGAGTATTTTTTTGTCTAAGTATAATATTTTAAACTTAAAGGATCTAAGTATTATATACTTGCAAATTTCAGGGGATTTAAGTATAATTTATTAACATATATATTTACAGCAGAGTCTAAGTGTTACGCGCGTACAAATTTCAGGGGATCTATATGTAATATTTTAAATGTCTAGGAGCTAAATGATTAAGCGACAAATTTCAGGAGACTTGAATGTAATTCTCCCAAAAAAAAAAAAAAAGGGACACTCAACTCTCTCACCTTCATTTCAGATTATGATCACCATGTGTATTTCACTACATTATTTACCAGGTTAAAAACCATGGAATATCCGAGTCTCTGGTTAATAACATGTTACGTATAGCCGGAGAGTTTTTCCGGTTGCCAGAAAGTGAGAGATTGAAGATTTACTCGGACGATCCCTTAAAGACAACTAGGCTGTCCACCAGCTTTAACATCAGGACAGAGAAGGTCTCAAACTGGAGGGATTTCTTAAGACTCCATTGTTACCCGCTTGAGGACTTTGTAAATGAATGGCCCACAAGTCCTCCATCTTTCAAGTAAAGTACATCAGTTCTGTACTGTTTATTACACACACACACACACACACTCTTGTATGATCTAGCTGTTTCTTCAAGTTGAATATTTGACAATTAAGCGAATAATGTACTTCGTTACTGTTAGGAAGGACGCAGCAGAGTATTGCAGCAATGCAAGGGCCCTAGCACTAAGACTGCTTGAAGCCATATCAGAGAGCTTGGGCCTGGAGAGAAATTACATAAATAAACAACTAGGAAGGCATGGGCAACACATGGCCATAAATTATTATCCACCATGTCCAGAGCCTGACTTGACTTATGGATTGCCAGGCCATACTGATGTTAATTTAATCACAATTCTTCTTCAAGATAATGTGCCAGGATTGCAGGTTCTCAGAAATGGAAAATGGATGGCCATCGACCCTATTCCCAATACATTCATTGTCAACATTGGTGACCAAATGCAGGTAAAAACACATACACATCTGATCTGAGTTAACTTAAAAAGAATAATAAGCCAACCAATACAGCAATGCAAGCAAACGGGAGAGAAGAAAATTGCATGATTTTGCATTCATGTTCTGAATTTTTCCTCATTCTCTGGATTAGGTACTTAGCAACAATCGGTACAAGAGTGTTATTCATCGAGCTGTTGTCAACTGCAACAGACAACGAATCTCGATTCCCACATTTTACTGTCCATCACCCGAAGCTGTGATAGGACCTGCTCCGCTATTGGTTGACAATGATCACCCAGCAGTCTACAGAAATTTCACCTACCAGGAATACTTTGAAAAATTTTGGAACAGTGCAACCCAAAGCTGCTTGGATGTGTTCCTCAACTCTTCTCACTGAGCACAACTTTTTAGGACAATCACACACGTGTGCTTGCTAAATGAACGAATGATCTTTAACGTACGCAGATTACTAAATAATATTTCTCACATTAATCATGTAACAGACCATTAAAACAAATTAAAATTGTGTATGTGATTTCTGTTGGAATATAAGTGAGTTAAAATATCCCCATGTTAAATAAATCATAGTTAGTGGTCAATTTCGAAATAAATAGATTGACAAAATTTAATTTTTATACCCAAAATGAGTGAGTCAACTTTAATTTAGGCTCAAAATTAACGAAATTTAATTTTTTTTTACCCAAAACAAACTATTTTAGTCCATCATTAAAAACTCGGTTAGCAATCATGCACACTCAAGTACAATTATATGGGATCCTATAAAAAAATCTTCTTTTTTTTTTTTTGAGAAATTGTACTTTACATTCAAAAGATTTACGAATTTTTACTTTCTACTCTCAAAGATTAATTTTTTCACATTGCACCCTCAAAATATTAATATTATTACAATATTATCCTTCTATTAATTTATGTTGTTCATTCCGTTTCTTGGGTGGGTTATTTTTTTTTTTTCCTTTAAATTTGGAAGTGTTTGGAGGGTGGGGGCAATAATATTTACATTTTCCACTATCCTTCAGTGGGGTGAAAAGCATTCCCGAAGAATTGGAGGAAAAATAATAGAAATCATTTTTTCCAGAGATTCAAATAGTACAAAGAACTTGGAAATTCATCTTGCTAGATTCAGAACATAAAAATTAAAAAAGCATTTAGCCAGAGATAAGCAACTTTCAGCAAAACCAAGTATTATCAAGAATTGTAAATAATATCACGTTACCATAATCTTCCTAAAATAACCAGACTTCACAAAATACAAACACAATTAAAGTTCACACTCACCGATGGTGCAGATAAGTTATTCTTAAACAATCTTGGACATGATGGTTCCTTCCGCTGAAGAATCAACATCAACAGCATTAACCCCACCCTATTGTCACCTCCATGGTTATGAGCGGTGTCTAGAATCACTTGTCTACTGCAATAACTATGTGAAATCAACTGGTCAAGAGAGAAGATTTTGACATCCACTGCTGCACAAGGGCAAGAACAAGGAGAGACAAAAAAGCGCTGCACTGTCAAGCCCAATTATAATCTTTTCACAAAATATAGAAAAGGAAAAGAAAAGAAGACAACTAAGCAGAAACAGATCTTTCACACGATTAAAAGAATTTATAGTTTTAAAGAGCTGCCTACCCACCTTACGTAGAACTCTTAAAACTAGGTTACAGGAACCAGTCCGATGAAGCTACTCTCTTTCTATCTGAATAGTTATGTGACTTATGTTGTATTCAGTCCTGATATACTCAATGACCTTGTCCAGCACCAAGTCAGCATCAGCCTCGGGTTTAATTTTGACATGGCAAGCTAATAATACTTTTCCTACAGTAATTGCCCATATATGCAATTCGTGAATTGCAATTACATCGTCCATCTCACAGAGACCCTTTTCCAGCCTTGTTGCATCAATCTCTCGAGGTGTGCTCTCCATCAGAACCTCCAAAATATTCCGTAGCATCTTGATAGTTGTGCCAAGCACAATAACAGAAAAGATCAGTGTGCATATCAAATCAATGATCTTCCAATCAGGTTTATACCATATAATAGCCCCACCAATCATCACCCCGATGCTTTGAATGGAATCCCCTAAGACATGAAGATAAGCCCCCTGGATATTTATATTCCTATGCTTCTTCTGTTTAACTCCACCTTTAGGAAGACTTCCACCTAGAAGTGGATCAATGATATCTGCATCGTGGTGCCCTTCATGTTTAGAGTGTCCCACATGATGGTGATGATGCGTAGTGATGGTTACATCTTGGCTGTGCATTACATCATCATCATCTTCATGGCTATGATCATGACCATCTTGGCCATGCTCATGCCCATCATGTCCATGATCGTGACCATGGCCATGGCCATGACCATGATCGTGGCCCAGCAAGAGAGCCATGACCACATTAACCACCAAACCAAAAGCAGAAACCAAAAACATAAGAAAGCCCTGAACTTCACCTGTACCGTTGATCAGTCTAGCAATGGCTTCATAAACGAGGATTCCAGCAAGAAGCCATATCATCTGGATGGAAACCAATGCCCCGAGTATCTCAATCCTGAAAAAACCATAAGATTGACGTGGAGTAGCTTCCCATCCTGATGCCCACAGGGAGAACAAAGAGATCGCAAAAGCTGCAACATCTGATAACAAATGGGCAGCATCAGTCAAAATTGCAAGACTGTTGGCTTTAATACCTCCAGCAACTTCTACACTCATAAACAGGATGCAGAGTACAACTGCGATAAGAAGTTTCCTCATGGATGTTGAACGTTCTTTTGCATCCTTAGAACTGGACTTGGCATCTGAGAATCCACATGGTGCTCCCCCACAAATTTTACTCCCACCAGACCCCTTCTCCAGGACTGGCATATCTCTACTAATCTCAATAACATGTCCACGTTCAGGATTTGATACATCCATCTAAAAATTTCAACATCAAATTATCAATAAGCAACTACGAATATGTATCTGACTCTCAGTTATTCAATTAACAAAATTATGATTCGACCGTATTTGCAGTTAATCTGTAGATATACAACACAAATTTGCAGAGCGTAAAAGGCTAAAGTCAGTAAAATTTGCAGTTGACCTGTAAATATACATTCAAATGAACACAAAAAATAAATATCTATGGAACAAACTGGACCTTTTCATCAAAACAGCAAGATTCCCAGCAATAATACCCAACAGCTTCCAAAAATTATTATCCACATAAAGATAAAAGAAAAACCCTCAAGGATCTCAGAGTAAGGTCTAACAACAAAACAGAAACATTATACATCAAATGATTAGCCTTGAGCCAATCTTAAGTTTGTGGTCCAACTTCCCAAGAACAAAAGATAATGGAAAAGCTAACGAAAGAAAGTGGATACTAAAAACTAGGGAACAGAAACCCAATTATCCGCACACTATTACAACACCATCAGCTAATGATTACTGCATGTCCATAACAAATTACTGATACGGAAATGCTTAAATTGAATGCATTACCTCCACTCCTTTAGAAAACCAATAAATCCTTCAAGAAAACTCCTAAAATGAAATAAATCATATCCATATATCTCCAAAGTGGGCACATGAGTGACCCATTTCCCCTTTTCTTTCTTCTTCTTTTTTTTTTTTGGAGGGGGGGGAGGGAGAGGAGAGGGGAAGGGGGACTTGAACCCTTGACCTTAAGAAAGCAAAACTTTCACAAGGTAAGGAATACCATTAGACCAAAGGCCCGCCGGTGAGTGACCCTTTTCCCAAGTTCCAACCTCGAAGCCCTAGCCACAGTGGTTATTGGCCAAATTTTGAAAGGAAACAAAAAAACCTTCAGATCAAGACAAACCTTCAGCAGATTCTTCATCATCTCAACTCCATCAGTACAGAGCATGTTTGTTTGACTTAATATATTTTACGGTGGCTCTTACCAGTAATTTGAGGACCAATGAATGGTGTAAAGGTACAAAAACCAGATAACGCACACTGTCATATGTGACAATAAAATTGGCAGTTTATCTAATTCTACTGCTTAGAATTTCAGGTGCATCAGCTGCTGCTCCAATCTCCATTTGTTCTTGTATAATGGATCCTTTTGCCAAGTAGTAAAATAACACACATATACGGCTTACGCGCTAAAGCAAAAGGCTATTATTTGATGTAATACGACATCTAATGCAAAAATGAGTGGAAAACACTACAAATAGACATGAAAAGCAATCAATATGAATTACTATATATACAGTAAACATAAATCAGTGTGTATCACCTCAAACAATCCCTAAGGTGGTCTCATTTGTCAAATTGAAAAGAATGGGTGGGTTTTGAGTTTCATTTGCCAATCCATCTTTATTCTTGTTGTCATCATTTTTATTTGTTGAGAGGAAGAGGGCTGTTACTTGTGGGGATGTCATGAACTAACACCAACTGAATAAGATGTTTCAATTTGTGTCACTTTTCGGTTGTTTATCTAATTCTATTGCTTAGAATTTCAGGTGCATCAGCGGCTGCTCCATTTGTTCTTGTATAATGGAATCCTTTTGCCAAGTAGTAAAATAACATAATATGCAGCTTACGCGCTAAAGCAAAAGGGTATTATTTGATATAATGCGACATCTAATGCAAAAATGAGTGAAAAACACCACAAATAGACATGAAAAAGCAATCAATATGAATTACTATAAATACAGTAAACATAACTCAGTGTGTATCACCTCAGATGATCCCTAAGGTGATCTCATTTGTCAAATTGAAAAGATTGGGTGAGTTTTGAGTTTCATTTACCAATTTATATTTATTCTTGCTGTCATCATTTTTATTTGCTGAGAGTAAGGGGATTGCTACTTGTGGGGACGTCATGACCTAACACTAACTGAATAAGACGTTTCAATTTCTGTCACTATTCAGTTAATACAGTGGCTACATAGTTGGGATTTTTGGCAGGTGAGTGGCCACTAAAATGCTTAGGACTCCCTTTAGGTAAGGACTTTTTTGGATCCTATTGTTGAGAAGAAGTTTAGATGGACGAAATAAATCTTTTATTTTTAGGGGGTAGATTAACATTGATTCAATCAATTTTGCTAGTATCCCTATTCACCTTCATGTCTCTTTTTAAAATGTCTGGACTCTAGAGTAGTGGCTAGAAAAATTGAAGGTTTAATGAAAGATTTTTTGTGGGAAGGGGTAAGAGATGGTAGGAAGGACCATTTGATTTGTAAGGAGGTGGTAACTAGACCAAAAAATGAGGGAGGGCTTTCAATAGGAAATTTGGTGAATATGAATGTAACCTTAGTTGAGAAATGACTCTAGAGGTCCTTTAGAGCAAGATTTATTGTGACATATCGTTATTAGAAGTAAGTCTAGATTACGAATACAGACTAATAGGTGAGATTCTAATGGGGTTAAAAGCGATACTTTTCAGAGTCTGTGGATGTTCATTTCTCAGAGTTTCCATTCCTTTTCTCAAAGAGTCAAATTTATTGTGGGTCATGTAACTAGAATGTGTTTGTGGGAGGACATACGGGTTGGGAAGCCTAATTTCTGTACTCTTTTTCCACGATTATACCATGTCTCTTGTTATCAAGGTTAATTGACTGCATCTATGGCTCAATCATATTCTAATCCGATTTCTTGGGATTTTGGTTTTCATTGGAATCTCAATCATCAGTAGTGTTCAGAGTTGATGATTCCCCTTTCTTAATAATGTTACTTTGGTTCAAAACTCTAAGGATAAAAAGTATTGGAAAGGTAATTCGACGGGGTCTTTCTTGTAAATATTTTTTTGAGTCATTAATTAATAATCTTTTAATTCCTTTTTTCGATCTATCATTGAAGATTTGGAAGGTGAAAGTACCTTCGTGCATATTTATGCATGAATAATTTCTAGTGCAAAGATTAGTACTAATGCCTTCAACCCCAATGATGTGTTAAGTGTAGATGTGAAATTGAGAATTTTGCACACCTTTTTTTGCATTAGACTTTGGCACGAGCGCTATGGAAACTTTTTGATTTTGTGGGCTTTCTTGAGTTGCTAGAAGGACTATGTTATCTATAATTTGTATGGACAATGTGGGGTTTGAAGGGAATAAAAAATGGAAAATATTTGGCATAGTGTTTTCTTTGCAACATTTTAGGTGATTTGGAAGGAAAGGAATACGAGGTTTAGGATAAGAGCAAAGAACTTGAGGGTCTATGGGATAGAATTTATATTTTGGCAACCTTTTGGGCCTCAATGTCTAAGGATTTTGAAGATATTTTTTTCTTTTGTATCAAGACAAGCTGGAAGACATCGTTTCACTCGTAGAATGATCACTGTTTTTATGTTTTCACGGCCTGTACTTGTGTTGGACTACTTGTCCACATTTGTTTTGGTTTTATTGTAATAATGTCTTGACTATCAATGAAATTGTGTTTCTTATTAAAAAAATTCTGTCACTTTTCTCAATATTGCAGTTGTTATGACATGAAAAATCTAAGGTGTACCAGTGCCAAATTACTCTAACATAAGTTAGGCTTAAGAAGGGTACCAGTGCCAAATTATTCTAACACAATTTCTGTCACATATATGAGAGAACTACGCATCACATGATTCTCAAGCCTTACAAAACACACATTATTCTCACAACAGCCTCATCAAGAAGAAGTCATGATACTATAATGCAAAGAAATAAAAACTAAAATCTGGCTTTACTTAAATAATAGTTTAGTCAACTTGGCAATACTGTATTTGAGAATCCATACACTAACTTTTTTACTTCCATGAGCACTTATTAGAAACTAACCACAACAACCTTGTTTCCAACCCAAACATTATCAACATCATCAAACAATTTCCTAAGTTTAGTTTTAAATATATCTTCCTAATATGATTTATCCAATCAGAGAAGTAAGCAAATTGACACAGCTTTGATTTCCCATATGAGACACAAGAATAACCGAGCAAGGAATGAAATCATTGTTGCTTTTTAAGCTTCATAAACCTGGAAAGCTTATATAAACCAAACAGCATAGAATCCATCTTTGACAAACTCTAGCAAACAATTCAAGCAGTGAGAGCAAGCTTACCCTCCCAAGCATACAGACGAACCGCTAGTAAGAAAAATTCGAACCTCATAAGAACATCACCAAACTCGTTAAAGACCAGAAACAATATCAAAAACATCAATCAAAATTCAAAATTAACTGAACGATACATGCATGGTTAATGTTTATATACATGATCTCATAGAGAGAAAGAGAGGGGGGGAGTAAGAGAGTGGTTGCATTGAGGATTGCATGCCAAAACGTATAGACAACAAGAAGGGTCCAGAAGCCATACGGCCGGCTAAAGTATTTGTTTTAGATCAACATACGTAAAGCCATACGGTAATCAAGGACATCTCCGTCATTACCTTTTCATTCACAAAGGCAATAAAAGTAAAGCAGATGTACACATACAAATTTACATTCATATGGTGGTCATTGAACGGAAAGAGGAAAGGGGAAAGGGAAAAGGGGAAAGGGGAAAGGGAAGTAAGTTTACCTTTTAATAGACGTGGTTCAAGGCTCAGAGCTTTGGCAATTGAACTGATTTTAATTTAATTTGGAAAACAAATCAACTCCATATATGCAGCACTGTGAAACACTTTCCTCTTGGTGGTGGTGGTGGTGGTGGTGGTGGTCGTGGTGGTCGTGGTATCTCTAGTCTAGGGTTCTTTGCAAGGAAGATGTTTAAATCCAAATCCAAATCAAAATCCAAAAAGGAAATGGATGGATGGATAGATAGATAGTAGAGGCCTGGCTGTGGATTTGTTGGGTACTTGTTAAAAATAGACTAGAATACCCTAGCTATCAAACTAAATTACTTTTGAGACCAAAAAATAAAAAAAAAAAAAAATTAATTACTTTTCTCTAACTTTCAAATTTATCTCTAAGTAATTTTTATAAAATAATAGATTTTGTTTAGTATAAAATAATAGATTAACTCGCATATTTTAATATATTAATAATGCATGACATGCATTGCACGTAAATAAATTTAAAGAATATTATTTTTTTATAAAAATATAAATTATATGTATGATTAAATTAAATAATTAATTAGGTGTTGAATAATTAACTATTATTAAATTTAATTATTGATTTATTCTATAAATTTTTGAATAACTAATCTTTAATTTATAGAATTATTAATTTTTATTTTGTTAAATAGATAGATTATATCGCTTGTAATATTCTTATATTATTGCATGCCAAAAAATAAAATATAATATGTTCATAATAATTTAACATAATAGGACTTTACTTCTTATATAAATATAGATAATTGTATATAACTATATTATTAATAAATGCATTCAAAGAATTTAGAAGTTTTTATAAAAAATTCAAAATAAGTTGAAAGACAAATAGGTGTAAAAAAATAAAGATTAGATGAAAATATATAGATAGATATAATTGATTTTATTATAATAATTAGGGATAAAATCAAAAATTAAATTTTTTTTTTTTTGAAGATGGTGACATTTATAAGTAATACATATGTATTTAAATCTTATTGTTTATCTACAATTATAATTAAAAATAAATTTAAAACTACTACATAAAAATAACAATAGTTGATAAGTTTTATTTATGATTTTTTTGTTACCCTCTTGAGCATTGTCTTCATTCTTGCATGATTTTTTTGAAGTATCATATTCTTTAAATAGTCATTTTCGAATTAGTCACTACTTGGACTCTCTGTTTTAATTAATCCTTGATCTTATTTACTCTCAACAATTCCGAATGGAAAGTGACCGCACACGTCGTAGTCATTGGACCAAAAGAAGACAAAGATAACGTGCATTCATTAGGTGGAGAGAATTTGACAACATTTTTGCCCTCGAAATGCACACTTTCCATCAATAGTCAATACAGAAAAAGAACAACGGAGGGCCATGGTCTGGTCTCAAAGCATTGCAAACGGACAAAGGTGTTTTGTCCATCACTAAGATTCCTTTAGTAACGTTTTCACTTTTAAGTGTTTTTTTTCAATAAAAAAATAAAACTAATTTTTTTTTTTATATAAGTTAAAAGTATATAATATATTTAATAGTTATTTATATTTAAAAAATTATAAAAACAAAAACAAAAATAAAAAATATATTTTTTATTTTACCAAAAATTCATCACCCAACACTACCACCAAACACCCAACCACCTACCACCACCACCGAAACACACTCCCACAACTCTTCTCCAAAACCCATCACCTACCCCTGAAATTCAACCCCCCTCGCCCCCCAATCCCACCACCACTGAAATCAACCCCTATCCTCAAAACCCACTCCCACCAAAACCCACCCTCATCCCGGAAACCCACCACCATCCTTGAAATCCACCACTATCTAACCCCACCACCACCCAAAACCCATCATCATCACCAAAATAGAGAAGGACTAAGAAAGGAAGAGAGAGAGAGAGCAGATATGGAAAAAAAAAAGTGAATGAATACTTTTTATGCTCAAGCACTGAAATCCATTTTTTGTTACTAAAGAGAATAAAAGCCAGTATGTCATTAATAGTGGCTTTTTATACTGCACTCAGTGTTTATTATTTTATTTTTTTTTGGATGTTTTCAAAAATATCATTTTAGATATTTTCATATTTTGGTCTTATTTTCAAAATAGAACAAGAAAAAAAAAAATGAAAACATTTACTAAACGTCTTTTTATTTTTGTTTTTGTTTTTTTTTCCATAAAATGAAATTAAAAAAAAACAAAAATATCATATTACCAAACGGCACCTAAGATTTCCTCCGGGGAATTCCCTCTTTCACATTTCCCATGGTCCAACACCTAAGATTTCCACAGGGGAATTCCCTCTTTACTAAATACTAATCCTAAAGCTCTTTCCTTTTTGTCACACATTTCCCAGGGTTCCCCGTGATTGTGATCAACCCTCCAAATGATAGCATTATTTATCGGAATCGATCTCAATCAGATAGACTGAAGTGACCGAATTCAATACACAGCCCATCAACAATTTGAATCAATTCATGTGCATCACTACCAGAACAAAATGCACAATCAGTCACTCTAAAAGGTAGAGTAAGCATACCGCATACCCTAAAGGCCAAAATTGAAAGCTAAACAACCAATATGGAACAGAGCTACACAAGTTCCTTCTTTTTTGGTTCAAGAACAGGCGGGTCAACTTGGATTCCCATATTAGCAGCAGTGCCTGCTATAATTCTCATTGCTGATTCTATACTAGAACAATTCAAATCCGGCAACTTCTCTGTGGCAATTGCACGCAACTGGTCAATCGTGACTTTCCCCACTTTCTCCAGCTTCGGATCTTTAGAACCTTTCTCCACACCTAAATATCAACATCATTATTAAACAGTGGTTATCTAACAACAACATCACAATTCGATGGCAAAAACATGCGCTTGACAGTAGTTTTTCTTTCACACATAGAGTTAATTCCTTTGTCATGCTGAAAAAACTCATCCACATAGAAAGAGTGGAGACTCATCACCAAGTCACACAGCAATGTTATGTGGGAATTGTCACTACATTCTATCCCAATTAGTAAAATAATACAACTAAAGCTGAGAGCGGCATCAGAAAAAGAGAATTCAAAACGAGTGATAGTGATCAATGGTTTGGAATGCACATCTTGTTATGAATTAGCAGCATGCTTGAGATAAACTGGCTAGAGAATATCAATAGACATTTTCTCCCCCCATTTTCCCACCAGTATCTTACTGAACAAAAGGTCATTTTCTATAAACTGGAGGATAACAACTGAAGCTAGATATCACCAGGTATAATAACTACTACAGCAGAACTTTCTTCATTACTGTCTCTTCTAGATTTGGTGTTTTTCGATTATTTGTCTTCTGATAAAAAGATGTGGGATTCTTGACTCTTCAGGCACTCTTGCAAATCTTGCTTTCAATCGCTAATTGATGACCCTTGTACTCCTATATTTGAAACGTCCCTTATTATTTGGAAGGCTAAAGTATCCTTCACCCTATGGTTTTTTTTAACATAACATTACCTCCTTCACCCGATGTTTGATAGGATTGAAAATGGACTGATGGAAAATGGATTTTCCATTGTTTGGTTTGAGGGGAAAATGGGATGGAAAGTCTTTCTACTGAGGCCACCATTTTTAATCCTCCCAGATATGGGCAGAAAATGGAGAGAGAGGTTGGCTAGTATGTTGTGATAAATCTAATTTACATTTATACCCTTATTACTTGAATATCCTTCGGCTGCCATGCAAAGCTCAATTTTGAAATATTTCTTAAACTAACATGTGGTTAATACATGTGATCTATCAATTATTGCATTTGTTCACTTTTTGTGGATAAAATTGCAAATTAAACAATTTTTTTTTTCATTTTTGCACCTAAAGTCAAACACTAATGGTCAATTGACAATGGCAAAGTGGTAAATTGAATTTTTATGTTGGTTTTTTCCCTCTATTTTTCTTCTCATATAAAACATTGAAAAATTTATCCCCCCCACTTTCCATCCGTCATATCAAACAAAAAGGAAGAAAAAGACATGTTTATCTATCCTATTTTTCATCCCTTCTACCAAACTAACCATCAAGGTTCATGTTTTTGCATGGTTGTTGGTCACAATAAGATCCTATTGGTGTTTTATGGTAAAAGTAGTGGTGGGAACAGTAACCATCCTTTTTTTCATTGTCCTCTTGTTTTAAGATTGTGGCATATATAATTTTTGGGAGTTTCAGAGATTCGTGGTTATGGCTACTTTTTCGTGGTTTGGTTTAAAAGGAATAGTATAATTATAAGCTTGCAAATAAAGAAGTAAAATAGCCGATAAGAGATGATAAGTACAAAACATATGATGATTTTTGCTCTAAACTAGACACAAAGGATGGAAAAAAAAGTATATATAAACTTGTTAAACTAAGCAAAAGAAAAATTAGAGATGTTCATCATATTAAATGTATTAAAAAAAAAAAGATTGATGGGGACAAACGGCAACAACCTTACAAAATTTATAAAAGGCGAGGAAAAGATGCTTCCAAGGCTCGAGATTTAATTTGGCAGATGTTGGATGATGAGGAGCCTACTTGGGAGCTTGCATAAGCATAAATAGAGTCTTATTTTTAGTTGCTTTGAGTTAGTTCAGTAATATTAGCATTTTATGTGGGTTTTTTTTATATTTTTTATAAAATTTTTGGGAGTTTCAGAGATTCGTGGTTATGGCTACTTTTTGGTGGTTTGGTTTAAAAGGAATAGTAGAATTATAAGCTTGCAAATAAAGAAGTAAAATAGCCGATAAGAGATGATAAGTACAAAACATATGATGATTTTTGCTCTAAACTAGACACAAAGGATGGAAAAAAAAGTATATATAAACTTGTTAAACTAAGCAAAAGAAAAATTAGAGACTTTCATCATATTAAATGTATTAAAAAAAAAAGGACTCTAGGGTTTTGGTACAAAACGAGTAAATTAAAGGTGTAAGAATTGGCTTTGAAAAGTTACTAAATAAAAATCATATAGAGAGCTTACACATTGAATAGGAATCATAGAGAATTAGAGAAAACATATTTTTTTATAGGATTAAAAAAGACAGGAAGGTAGGAAAAACTTTAGGACCTGATGGTATACCTATTAAGGTTTGGAATTAGAAAATGTCTAGGGGATTTTGGGGTATCATATTCAACTAAATTATTTAATAAAATTATAATGACTAAGAAAATGCCCGATGAGTAAAGAAAGAGTATTTTAGTATCTATCTACAAGAACAAGGGAGATATACAAAGTTGCACAAATTATCGAGCCATTAAACTAATGAGTCATACAATGAAACTTTGGGAGAGGGTGATCGAGCAAAGATTAAGGTTTAAAACAATGGTTTCTGAGACTCAATTTGAATTTATGCCTGAGAAATCAACAATGGAAGCTACATACTTACTTCGCAAACTAATGGAAAGGTACAAGAAGAAAAATAAGGATCTTCATATGATTTATATAGACTTAGAAAAATATACGATAGAGTTCCTAGAGATATATTAAGGAAGTTTTAGAGAAGAAAAATGTTAATGTTAGATATATTGATGTGATAAAGGATATGTATGAAGATATAGTGATTTTAGTGAGAAGAAAGCCAGGAGAGACTAGATACATTCAGGATTAGTTCCCATGGTGTATGTTATTTGGGGACAGTACTGTATTTGTTGATGGAAGAAAAGAAAGAATTAATAATAAGTTAGTCATATGGCGAGATAGAAAAGCTTTAAAATCAAAAGAATTTAGGATAAGTAGAATTAAAACCGACTATATGGAATGTAACTTTAGTAAAAAGAGGAATCGAAAATAAGAAATAAAAAAATTAAAGATCAAGAGATATCGAAGAGTAAACACTTTTTTAGGGTGTATTATTCATAAAGAGTGTGAGATGGTCACGATGCTACCAATAGAGTTAATGTAGGATGGACTAAATAGAGGAATGTATCCTATGTATTATGTGATTGATGCATAACGTTTAAGCAAGAAGATCCACTATGCTTTATTGAGTGTTGAGCAACAAAGAAAGAGCATGTTCAAAAATTAAAAGTATCGAAAATGAGAATGTTAAGATAAACGTGCGGTAAAACTAGAAAGGATATAATTAAGATCGAATATATCCGTGAAAAAGTAGGGGTCGCACATATAAGAGATAAATTAAGGGAGAATTGACTTTAAAAATATTTATAGACACCAACTATGACACTAATGAGAAAGAGTGATATAATAGCTATTGACGGTAAGTGTATGAGTAAATGATGACCAAAATTAACTTTAAACAAAATAGGAAAGAAAGATTGCTAATTTATAATTTAACAAAAAAACATGACCCTTCATAGAGCACAATGGTGAAACAAGATTCATGAAACTGGCCCCAAAAATATTAGGACAAAGTTTTGTTGAGTTGAGTACAATTTGGGATGCAGTTGTGTATACTTAATATTGTTCAAATTCTCTAGTAATTTCAGAGCCCCTTTGTAATGTAATGAAGGTTTGGTATTCAGTACGCCATTACAAAGTAAATGTCTGGCTCTAATGTGCATTTCCTATCATTAAGGAAACGTGCTTCTATCGAAACAAAATGGGGTAATTCCAGTTGATGTACTTCATTATTTTAGTTATTCTATGATAAAATTAACGGGAGATAAAATTTCTGACTCTTTATGGGAGCAGAAACTATTATGAATGATCCAATGATGTATAAAAACGAAACACATGAACCCAAATATTTATAATCAGCTAAGAAAAGTGATGTCAACTGATGACTTGTAACGAAAATGCCAACAATTTAACAGACAAAAAATGGTTACACGATTCTTAATCAGATAAATTTAAGTTTTGATGCCCAAAAAACAAAAAGGAAAAACAAGATGGCCACTGTGTATCTTATCTAGCATCATTAAAGCATTTCTCAAAGGAGTTGTAACTGCAGTGACAAACATGTAAATATCACAAAATATAAAACTTACCATCTTTAACTATATTCCAGGCGTTCATAAATTCTTTAATTAAGAAATCAAATGCAAGAATTCAAATTTTGTTTGCACTATATCAAGTTTTAACATGTCTAAGATTTGAAAAGCTACAAGATATCTACAAAAAGGAAAAAAAAAAAACTTCATACCTAAGGACAACAATTCATATTTCTAATTAAAAAAAAATGCAAGTATAGTCATTTATACACCTTCCTTTCTTGTGTCTGATTAGGGGAGTCCGTGGGTCGGGCCGAACTAGGCCCGCAAATTCTTTTTCAGGTCGGACCTGTGTAGTGTAGACTCAAACTCTTACCTAAGTGAATTATTGGGCGGGCCAAACCAGGCTTCAAGTAAGGGTAGTTTATCCGCGAGCCTATTGGGCAAGCTTGCTCGCAAGCTTTTTTATATATAACTTCATTTAAAAATAATGAATATTTTTATAACTTAATATTTATTGTTAAGAGTTAATTAGGAATATTCTAGGGTTATTTGTTGCCTAAACCATGTCAATTTTTCTAAGTCAATAGACATGTATTTTATTGTTTTAGGTAACTTTCTTAAAGTTGAGATTAGGAATTTAGATTCATTTTGGAAACCTTTAGGGGTTTGTGGATTCTTATGAATTACCCAATGTACTGTAGTTCTATTCAGTTAATCAATTCAATAATACAATATTTTGAGAGCTTTCTTTTGTTCTTGTTTGTAGATTCAGAGTATTTTGTTCTTTGCACTTGGAGACGGTAATCTCTTTGTGTCCCTCGTTCACTGTTGTGTCAGTATCCCTTTTGGAACAAGCAATAACCTGAATCCAAGTATCTAAAACAATTGTATTGCTTCCTAGATTTCAACTCCTCAATAGAAGGATTTTTCCTAGGTAATGCATCCCAACAAATACAATACCTAGACACACATATACACAAAGAATAAAAAAAATGTAGTTGTTCTATGATCATCACCAAAAAACTATTATATAACAACAAATATAGAACGCTAATTGATTTCTTTAGTATTGACGAGATTAATATGCCCATATAGGGTTGCATACAAGACGTTTGTTAATTGTTCCATTAGACCGTTAATGCATGATAAAACATAAGAAAGTAGTCATAAATGAAGTGATGCTTTCGAATTGCATCTTTTACAAATCATGCTTTGGAGTATAAACTCAACTAGCTCAAATCGATAAAAGCCTTTATCCTAACTATTTGGGGTCGGGTACATAAAACCTATTTCTCCATTGTGCTCTATCAAGTAACATACTCTATATTGTATAGCATTGTCGGTCTATTGACTGCTTTGAAGTATATGTCTTGAAGTGTGTTTGTCTTACGTAATAACTTAAAAGCAAGCCCATAGCAAAATCAAACCAAAAATAAAATAAAACATACAAAGGAAACAATTATAAGAAGGAATGGCGTTAAAGCATATTGGCGACTGATTTTACTTGTGCACACCCAAAAAGCAAGCAAACACCAAACATGTTAATTTGAGAATACAAACTTACAAAAATGTTCACTTGGTGTGTCGTTGGTGGGGATTTTTTTTTTTTTTTGGATGGTGGGATCAGGCAAGTTAAAACACCAAAAAAAAAAAAACAAAGAAGGATCACCACTGAAAACTTGCAAGTCAATTGTCATTATCCAGTCACGATAAGGTTATTGATCACTTTCTCCTTCATGTGTCCAAGGCAATTTATTCTAAATTCACCATCATGTTTGGCATTCCCTGTACACATTCTAGTGTATTGGCAAGGACAATTTCAATAAGTTACATTCCAGTAGAATTGTCCAAAACCAAAACCTAACATCAATTCTGTAGCAACCCTAGAAGGCTAGAACCTAAAAATTAATAAGTCTGTGTTAAGGCAAATTAAAGCCTGGGGCTCTTTACTTCCCAAAATTCTTCATCGAGACGCAGCTAAATGTTGTACAAGATCGAGGTCACAACTCAACCACAAAATTGAGCCAGCTCAGAAACAAAAACAAACACAAGTAATCTGATAATGGAAAATGTACTAGATGGGTATGGCTTGCGGACACTCAAAAGCCCCAAAGGGCGAATGAAGGGTGTGTCACATGTGCAATAGCTTTCTTTCTTTCTCTCGCTTGATCGCCTCAATGCCTATAATTTGAGAGATAGGTAACATTCTCGAAATATTTTGCTAAAATTTTAGTGAGATCATTGTGATCTTGAGAATGAAAAAACAAATGGTAATACCATTTTGGGAATCAGAAAACCAAAAAAAAAAATCAAATCCATTTTCAACAATCTTGATTGCCAATTTCAACACTTAAATGGCTAATGGATCATTATAAATCAAGAGATGGAACCTAATTCCTGAACTTCTGAGGCGAATCAGACAGAAATTATAGCAGATCATACAAATACAATCAGATAATTAAAAGGTTCTATGCCAGAAATCAGCTGAACTCAGTGAAGTTCATCCTATAAAAATTAAGTGCAATGAGTTGAAACTACGCAATAGAAGAAAAAATCAACATTTGGTTAACACTTCATAAAATTAGAGAACCTGCAGCCTTAAGAAGCAGGACTGAAGCTGGAGGTGTCTTCAAAATAAATGTAAAGCTCCTATCCTGCACGTTACAAGAAACGAATCATAACTCTATGCATCATACACGTTTGAGCGGGAATCATAAGTGTGCCACACAGGACCAATGACCAGAGTGTTAAGAAGGGCATAAACCCAAAACACGTACAAAAAGCGAAAGCAACCCTCCAATGAAGGTAAAAAAAAATTAAACGCAAAATCCTCCAGTGCAAAAGGGAAGCCTCAAAATGGACATAGACAATGTTGCAAAAAATGTCATCCAAAAGCAAAAGGACTCACATCATAGACGGTGATTTCGACAGGAATGACATAACCAGCTTTGTCGGCAGTCCTTGCGTTGTAATCCTTACAGAAAGCCATAATGTTGACACCCTTAGAACCAAGGGCAGGCCCAACAGGCGGTGCAGGTGTGGCCTTCCCAGCCTCCAGAGCCAGCTTTATCACCCCGGTAACTGCAATCCATCTATAAATGAATTATATACACAAAAAATAAATAAATTCCCCCAATAGGGTATAAGAACGGAATAAGGAGTGAATGAGTTACCTTTCTTGGGTTTACCACCAGGCTTAGGGGGAGCCATTGAGATGACAGTGAGCGACCTTGCAGTTGGAGAAGAGAGGACCAGACTTTGGCTGCTACTAGTATTAAGAAATTGAAGAGATATGTTTAGGGATAGTTTAGAAGACAAATTGAGAGTTGAACCGCAAAGCATAGAAGATGAGAGATTTCCCCCTTTCTTCGAACAAAGACTATGAGCTGCAGGAGGAGGTATGTGAGCATAGCTGGATAGAGAGGACGCCATTTCTCAACCAAGAGGAGAGAGAGGAGTAGACGAGACCCAAATGCCGGAGAAGTGGATAAAACCAGACGAATGATGATTTTTTTTTTGGAGAGAATTACATTTATATCCTTATGTGTTGCTTAATAATTTAAATTTTTTAATATTTAAAATATTATTTACAAATCTCTTAAAGTTTGTACGTATATAACACTTACACTCTTATTATCAATATTCATTAATAAATTATATTCAGACTCCCTGTATTTTGTAAGCGTGTAATACTTAGACTCTTCAAATTTAAAATATTATACTTTTTTTCTCCTTTTTTTTTGAAAGAGAGGATGAGAAAAGGACACTTGAACGCAAAGCATTCATAAAATAAGGAGTACTAATTAGACTAAATGCTCATTGGTTTAAAATATAGTTAGATAAAAAATATTACAATTAAAGGTAAAATACCAAAGATTTTAAATGTTAAAACTAAAATTTATATTTTATTATGATATTTATTAAAATAAAATTAAAAATAAAAATCTAATTTTTTCTTAAAAAATTAGAATTAATATACAATTATACTATCTATTGGAATTTAATTTGATAGTTTAAACTACCAAATTACCCCCAATTAATATATTATGTTCATTATAGTTTGATCATTTGTTTAATTTTTTAGTTTTATTCTAATTAATAGTCAATTTTTTATTGAAATATTTTTTGTCTAAATATAATATTTTAAACTTTAAGAATCTAAGAATCATATGCTTACAAATTTTAAAGGGTTTAAATGTAATTTATTAATAGATATAGTAACATCTATGAAATACGGATACAAATACGGGATACGGCGATACGACAGAGTCTAAAAAAGTAGGATACGGATACGGTCAAGTTACGACTATAGTAAAATATATTTAATATTTTTATTATTTTCAACCAACTTAATACTTATATATTTTGGTAATTCTTTAACATATAATAAATAAAATTAGTAATTCTTTTTAGTTTCAAGAAAATATATATCATGTCATTGTGGTATATTCACAAAGTGAAGTGACTAATTAAATAAATCAAAGTTAATATATACCTAGTATTTAGAAGTAATTTTTGTTAAGATTATAATATAATAGATTTATTTTATACTCTTTCAATATGTAATTGTAGATAATACTTAAAAAAAAACTTTTGTGTCTTTGAAGTAATATGATTTTTTTGTTAATGTATTGTATGGTATGTAAATTCGAAAAGAGATGTTAAAAGTTTAACTTAAAAATTATATATGTTGTTCGACTACAAAAGTATGTGTGAAGTATCATAATATTTAATTATTATTGGATACTTAGAAGATGTATCTGATACGTATCATCGAGTATCCGACAAGTATTGTATCCGATACAGTATCTGATACAGGTACGTCAACCTGAACGAAGTATCCGTGCTTCATTGAGTAACAGATATTATTAGGGGTCTAAGTGTTACATGGCTATAAATTTTAGGAAGTGTGTATAATATTTTAAATGTCGGATAATTTGATTGATTAAGTAACAAATTTCGTTTAAAAAAAATCAAATTAGTGATTAGTGATAGAAAAACGTTTAATTTTTTTTAACATTCTCAGCATAATTTTATCATATTAAACAAACCGCCACATTATTCGTTTATAATATTATTTGAAAAAATATAAAAAAAATAATTATTTTTGAGTACCTCAAAATCCATGTTACGCACAAGTGTTGTATTGTACCCGTAACCTAAATTTTTTTGCTACCTTCTCAACCAAAGAGAAATTGAGGTCGTGTTTGATTATCATCTACAAAATAATTTTTTTTTCTCAAATTTTTTGAAAAAATTGAGATTTGAAACATAAAAAACATAAAAACATAAAAACAAGTCAGACTTGGTTTTGTTTGGAAAGTGTGAAAACGCAAAAAACATAGGGGACCCTATTTACTGTGCACTTATTGTATCACTATAAAAGTTTTTTTTTTTTTTACATTCTTTTCCCTTGACCTCTCTCTATCTCTTTGACCCCTCTCTCTCTCTCTCATCGACACCAGGTATTTATCTTCAACCCATAGATCCGGTGATTGGAAGCACAGATCCGACGACTGGAAGCATAGATCCCTTGATGGTGGTTGTGGGTGTTGGGGTGGTTCTCGGTGCAGGTTGGTGGTGGGGTTCTGGGTGTTGAGTGGTTCTCGATTTGGGTGATGGGTGTTAGGTGATTCTCAATGTGGGTTGGTGGTAGTTGTGGGTTGTGGGTTGATGATGGTTGTGGGTGTTAGGTTGATAGTGGTTGTGGGGTTGGTGGTGGTTGTGGGTGTTTGGTTGATGGTGGTTCTCGATTGTGGGTGTTGGGTGATACACACTGAAAGAGAGAGAGACATAGAGTTGAAGAGTGGTGGGAATTATGGATTATTCTCCAAACAAATTTTATAATTTTTGTTTTTTAAAATTATTTAAAAAAATATATAATCAATTGTAATCTAAAAATTTTTAAAAATATTTTTTTAAAACTTTTCTCAAAAATAGTTTTCAGATACTGTTTTTTAAGATATAAACCAAACAGACACTGAATTCCTACAAAGGGCAACAAGCTGAACACAGATTATCGAAGAAAACGGTATCATTAAGCGGAATGATTCTAGATTTGTAATTTGCCAACTCAATTTCAAATCCATACGGACCATACCATATTAATAAATTTAAAATTAATTTTAATAAATTTGAATAATAAATAAGTAAATTCATAACACCCTTCAAATTAAATTTTACTATTTTTTTTTAATTTTGTTTTTTTTTTGGAGAAGAGAGGAAATGGAGACTTATTAAACTCTTGATTTCAAGAAGGTAAAATTTTTATAAGGTAAGAAATACCATTAGACTAAAGACTCATTGTTATCAAAATAAATTTTACTAAATTTATATGAACCCGCCAAATACAATGTATATAAAAAAGGGGTTTGATACAATATAATTCAATTTATACCCAATTATAAATGACTTGAGTACAAAATTACAAATTGAATAAATTTTAAAATAATACTCTGACAGCCACTATCTTCTAGATGGCATGGGTTTTGTAGATATTGTCCTTGTCCACGATT